CTGAAGGTACTCGCGGATCGCCCGCAGCTGGGCGCCGCTCGCATCGGGCGCTTCGGGCTGCTCCCAGCGGTGGCTCACGGCGAGGATCTCGCCGCGGTACGCGTGACGCCCGTAGGCGAGGTGCCGCATGAGCACTCGCCGCTGGATCCACTCCGGGTGCGCTGCCTGTATCTCCTGCAGCCGCGGTAGCGTCGTCTTGTAGCCAGCCTCGTCGAACCGCCCGGAGCGGAGCACGTCCGCGTCAAGAAAGAGGAAGGTGCACTGGACGCCTTGCATCTCCAGCGCGGCGTCTGCCAGCGCGCGATTTGTCTCCTCCAGCACCCGGTCGCGCTCGCGCCGGCGTTGGGCGGCGATGGCGCCGATAACTGCTGCGAGCACGACGAAGAGAACGGTCATGCCGAAGGTGAGACTGAGCATGGTGACCGCAATCCAATCGGCACTGTTGAAGCCAAAGATGGTGATGGCCTCCTCCTTGCCGGAGCGCTCCTCGATGTTGAGGAAGATGGAGCACCAACCAGCCAAGACGAAGTTGACGAGGAGCACAAGATTAGTTGCCTGCAGGAGGGGGGGGGGGAATAGAGCGAGTGGGTGTGCACTAGGAGCGTGAACGATTGGCTTACCACGGCAAGCGCGTAGTCCTCAAACTTTCGATACGGCTGCGTGGCCGCCAGCGCCGTCAGGTAGCAGGAAGAGAGCAGAACAGCCACCACGAGCCGAAGAAAGGCGCGTTCCTCTCGGATTAGCAGCACGATGCCGTTGAGAATCAGCTTGCGCGCCAGCTCTAGCGCCTCCCACCAGAAGAAAGTCGTGGTGTACTCCTGGTGGAGGAACGCCGTGGCCCGCGTCAGCGGGGAGGAAACCTTGGCCCGCAACGGCGTGTAGCAAGCAGCGAGGAGCGAACTGTAGAGGATCAGCGAGCCACCCACCCACACCCCGGCAAAAATGATAGCGCGGTCAATGATGGACTGGTGCTTATCGGTAAAGCACTCGATGCTCGCGTCACGGCGCAGGTAACTCACCATGCGGTCCGGGTCATCATACGCCTGTGTGGGAACGCGGGGCTGTGTGAGGAGACATCTGATTTTGGCGTTTGTGGCTAAGGCAAACAGCGTCGCCTGGCAGGACCACGCGCCGAAGATGTAGGCGTTGACCCCCGGCACACATAGGAACACAAGCACAAGGCTGGCTGGCAAGAATTCGAGGAGGCCGAGGCCCACCTCTCTTGGCCAGAGCCTCTGGTGTGGAAGAGGCGCGACGTGCCAGCGATAAGCCCGCAGCGCGACGCCCGAGAGCAAAAGGAGAGCGATGAGGCCCACAGGCAAGAGCGTGACGGCGAGGAGCTCGGACGGTCCACACTGCATAGCAAGAAGGGCCTTGGCCCAGTTGAGCGAAATCCAGTCGTTCAGCCTGTCGGTGGGTGTCATGAACTCCTCCGGGAGCTGCGCTGAGTAGGTGCCGTCGAGAACCAGCGCCACCTGGTAGAACCCCAGCAGGATCTTGAGCTTGGGCGTGAGGCCGAACGTGGCGAATACGGCGACAGCGCGGTCGGCGAAGCGGAGAAGAGGGCCGATGCATGGCTTGCGTCGCAAGCTTGTCGTTGAGTAGACCCACGCCGCGATGGCGCACGAGACAAAGAGGCCGACGAAGAGGGCGACGATGTTGCCCACGATCACCGCGTCTGAGGGACACTCCTCGCAGGTGTCGCCGCCGACGAGGTAGTGGTTGGAAGCATCGCAGAGCTGGCACTCGGGGCCGGTGAAATTAGTGGCGCAGTAGCCGTCGCCGTTGCCTCCCGCCTCGGGGCCGCCGGCGCAGCGCGTCTTGCGTGCCTCGTCACCGCCCCCGAAGCGGCCGCACTCATACAGCACGGTGCTGGAGGGACTGGCACGCCAGTAGCCGGCTGGGAGGAGGATAGATTCGAGAGTGGTGCCGGCGCTGCAGATGGCGTTGCGCGGGCAATCCTTACAGTACGTGGTCGGGTTCCTAAAGATGTCGTAAGGGTCGGCGCTCGAGTTGCTCATGTAGAAGCCCTCCTTACAGATGGCGGCAGCGACGGCGGCGGCAGATGGGTAGGGTGCAAACGGCGGCAGCGATAGCGGCGGCAGCGCGGGCGAGAGCTCTGCGGTGGCCGAGAGACCAAAGGCGGCGAAGAAGACCATCATTTCCGGTCTGTCGAGGTGTCTCACGCACCGATTTTTTCTTTTCCTGTGCTGCTGAAGATAACCGAAGCTGTCAAATCATTCGGCTGGTAGCTTCGGGTGAGTGATCAATCACAACCGCGCAAGAGCAGTATCTGCCGTCATACGCCTCAGCGGGCTCACTCAA